CATATGCCACTGGTGCCTTTCAAGCTGATATCCTAATGTTGGAATAAGAAGGACTGAGTCTGAGTAAGTTCATGTGTGAGTTGTTTAAGAGAAACTTCTTGGGACTCCTGACATTTCTTTTACTGACTCAATCTCCACTGACTTTTGTAGCCAGATGTTATGGCTTTCTTTTGGCACTGGAACCCAGTCCTGAGGGGCCTGGTGTTAGGCTTGGACACTTTGCTCCTGAGATATTCCTCCCAAATTTTTATCTACCACATGTAGTGTGGGACTAGCCTGTTCTGTGTCTCCATCCCTCCTACCAGTCTGGATAGCTGTGGTTTCTTTAATTCTGTAGTTGTCAGTCCACTTCCCCTCAACTCAATTTCTGACAGATCTGAGTGATGGCTATTCTATAGCTTAGTTGTAATTTTGATGTGATTGTGCAAGGAGGTGAGCTGTGTTTACCTATGCTGCCAGCTTGACTGGAAGTCTACATGATATCATATACTACAGTCTGAATGTTAGTATCTCCCCCTACCCATTTACCAAATCCATATGTTAAAATTTTAATGCCAAATGTGATGGTATTAGGACATGGGGCCTTGGGAGGCACTTAGGTCATAAGGGTAGAACCTTCACAAGTAGATTAATACTCTTATAAAAGAGACCCCCCCAAAAAAACCTCTAGCCCTTGCCACCTTGTGAGAACACAGCAAGAAGGGGTTGGCCATGAGTGAGGGAGAGGGCCTGCATGAGACTGCAACCATGCTGCTGTCTCCAGTACTATGAGAATAACATTTCTGTTGTTTATAAGCTACTCACTGTGTGGCATTTGTTATATCAGCCTGAACAGACTAAAATAATTATTTACAAATGAGGAAATAGATGCTGAGGATTTAGAAAAGATCTTCTGAGGTACCTCGCTCCTCTCCACTCTACAAAGTGGTCATGATCCTCTCTTTCCTTCTGTCATCTGCCTCTGAGCCTTGGGACTCTGTCACACTGCCTCTGGTGCCACACAGACACAAGGAGGCATAGAACCAGACTGGGTAGTTTCAAGAGCTAATGCAGGATTAAGGAAGGATTTATTAGGGAAAGTGTATAGGTCCTCATTTTCCCACCGATGGACTTTCAATACCTGTCTATTTCGGGGGCAACCAACTCATTCATGTCATTCCTCTTAGACATGGTGGGGAAGAAACAGGCCTGGGAATTGTGTCTTGGTGCCAGCAAAGTGCAGGGGCAAGTGTCAGTGAGTTTCTCGAGGTTCCCCTTTCCTGACCATTTGGAGGCTTAAAATAAGCCTGTGCTTGGATGCTTGCTGTGGCTTGGAACAGTGGCTAAGCAGGGAGATTTACTGCCTTGCTTTCTGTGTCCAACTATTTTAAGTGTCACTTATGCTGTAGTGTCTTTTAAAATTTATGGCTGTTCACTCTTCAGAGAACCTCTGTACTCCTTCCTGTGGCTTTCTCATAAATGTCCTGTGAAATACTGACTTAGTGTTACACTGTATGTACTATAGAACTTCCTGAAGTCCCTTTGGGGTGTCTGTTCTTTACTTTGGATTGTATGTAAAAATAGACAAAAGTGCATAAACAACCACAAAATGTTGATCTTTCTTCTTAATAGCAAAGTGTATTCTCTTTGAGGGCAAAAATATAGAAAATCAAAAGCATTTTCCTTGTGATATAAAACTTCAGGTGCCCAATATAAATGAGGAAACAGGCCAAGTGATGTCTCTTTGAAAAGGGTGAGGATAAATTCCTCTTCTTTTGCCTCCCTATCAAGCACGCTGGCCCCCTCCTACGCTTTTTTCCCTTTCCTGTGCATCACTTTCCTTCCCACACCTGCAATTTCTGATGGGATGGGCCACCATTGTGGACTAATTTTTACCTAACCTTTGACCATCAGAACTTGTTGTTCTCATAGCTATCTTTAGAGAGGAAGTTCTGATGATCTTAGTCTTCCAAATTATCATATGAAAAGTGACTTCCCAGCAGATGTGGCCTAAGTTACTCACTGACTATTGCTGAGTGAATTTCCTCATACTGGGTTCAGGAAGTGTCTGATCCAGCTTGCATCAGAAGAATAAGGAAGTGTACAGGGTGGGGTGATGCTGGAAGTACGTATGAAAGATGATAAAGCTAGAATTATAATAGACATAAAAGATGGAAATGACTCAAGAGGACTTTCAAGCCAAGGGCTGACTACCTAGTCCTGTTTCAAAACACCTGAGAATATTTATGCAGCCTCTGTTCTCCTCAGAACCTAGAATCTAGCTAGTAGACATGACAGTGATGGGAAATATCACTAATGTTACAAGGTGTGGTAGGTGAAGTGTTATATTAGTGGTCTACAGCAGGGGTTGACAGACTATGGCCTGAATGCCAAATCTGACCCTGTTTTTATAAATAAAGTTTTATCAGACAGAAGCCACATCCATTTACTTATTGTCTATGCTTGCTTTACAACTGCAGAGTGAAGCAGTTGCAACAGAGACCTTATGGCCCTCAATACTAAAGTGTTTCATACCTCGACTTTTACAGACAAAGTGTGTTCAACCCTGATCTAGACTGGGGTGCCTTGTGGGTACTGTAGGGAGAGATCACTCCAGGCTGGAACACTACAAGAGGGCTTCACATAAGGGCTTAAACTATGTCTCAGAGACTTCCAGGTTTGACTAGAGAGGATGGTGTGGGAGAGGGTACTCCAGGGAAGGAAGACTCAAGACCATGGCAATTACTAGGGAAAAGTTTGACAGGAGTGGAGAGATTATTTGAATAGGAATAAGATGCAAAGATGGATGAAGAGGCTGGGTCTGAACAGCAACAAGCCTTGAATGCCAGGCTAAAATACTCTAAGTGATGAAACTAGAAAATAGATGGGGGGGCAAGAATAGCATGGGAAATATAGAATCTAAAGGACTTGAGACACATGATCATAAACTAAAGGGGGGGTAATGGTGGGGATGGGGGGCTAGGGTGGAGGGGAATGAAAGGGGGAATAGAACAACTGTAACAGCATAATCAATAAAAAAAATTAAAAAAAAATACATGTTCCCATAGAAGCCTCTACATGGGTAGTAGGGACTTTTCAAGTCCATTTGAGCTGTAAGAATCAATTTTTAAAAAAAGCATTGATGCCTATTCCCATTCCCAGAGAGTCTTTCTTAATTGGTCTCAAGACGGTCATTAAATTTTGTTTGTTTGTGAAAAACTTCCCCAATGACTCTATTTTGCATTTGGGAACATCTTCCTAGGAGGAGGAAATAGCCAGGAATGTGCCTGCAAAAGCCAAGCTCAGGGCCAGGTAAATGTAGCAGGTGTCCAACACATGTGAATCAAATTAAATCAGCAATATTGGCTTGTTCCAGAGCCAGCCTGATAAGCCTCGGTTTTACTAGAGTCGGTTATATCACATTCACTTGGCCACATGGTTTCCAATAAAAGAAATCACTTCTGCCCGCCCTGGACTAGTCTTGGAAAAGCCCATGATGCTCAATGCAATATTGAGTCTGTTTATACATTTGGGCATTTATAGAGTTTTCTTTCACTGTTATTTTACCATGGCTATTTACAAGGCCTTACACAATGTGCCCCTGGCCTTGTTACCTCTCTGATCTTCTCTTCCACATACAACCCAGATGACTTCCCTCCTGCCACTACACTGGCCTCTTGTTCTTTGAACACACAAGGCAAGTTCCTGTCTTAAGGACTCCACACAGGCTTTTCTTCTTCCCCAGATGCTCTTCTCTTCTCGTCTCCAATCATGTGCAAAGCTCAGTAGCTCACAGTCAGGTCTTTGCTCAAGGATTACCTTCTCCCTGAGCCCTCTCCTGACCATCTGTGTAATTTAAAATCACATCCTCTTTCTCACATAGGTACTTGAATGCCAGGCTAAAATACTCTAAGCACTTATTGCCTTTCAACATACCATGACATTTACTTTGTTATGCTTATTTGTTATTTCCCCTATTACGATGTAAGCTGCATGAGAGAAGGGATTTTATCTATTTTATTCTCTTCTGTATCTGTAGTGCCTTCAGTGGTGACTGGAACATAGAAGGAATTCAAAAAGTATGTCTATTACACAAATGCTGAGAATGCTTTACTGGTTCTTTAAGACTGAGCTCAAACAGTTCCTCTGTAAACTGTTCCTGATTCCCCTTTTGATAAAGAAAGAAGTTTTCCCTCCTGCATTTGCTTTGGCTTCTTTTGAAACTGTTCAGTGCTTTCTCATGCATTATTGACTTTTTTTCTCCCCTATTGCTTCTGACCTCCACGAAGTCTGGGAGAGGGCATAGGACCTGGCATCTAGATTGAACAGGTCTATGTTCAGGAAATGAGCTAGAACTTGGCAACACAAGCTTGGACTAGTCTTTTGCTTGTAACCACACTTTCTGTATTGCACACCTATATAGTACTCCATTTTATTCTAACATCTTGACTTGAATGGTCTGAAATGGTTCACTAGTATGTAGAAGGTACAAGAAATTCAATGAAAAAAGCTTAAAAAGAATCTGATGCTTTTGAAAACCTTTTGTTTATGTGGACTATCTTTCTCTTCCCTCATTAATCTATTTAGTAAGTCCTGTTGAGGCTACTTCCTACAAAACCTTGAATTTATTCACTTCTTTTCATTGTCTCCTGCTCTCTAGTCTAAGCTGAAGTTATCTCTTACCTGGAATACTACAAACATTGCTAAATGCTATACTCTATGTAGTCTCATCCCCAGAAACCACCCTCTTCATAGCAGCCACAGTAAGCTTTCATTTATTTTTTTTTATCCTCACCAAGGATATATTTTTTCATTGCTTTTAGAGAGAGGAAGGGAGAGAGAGAGAAACATCAATGTGAGAGAGAAGCATCGATAGGCCACCCTCACCAAATCTGCAACCTAGGTATGTGCCCCAGCCATAAATTGAACCCGCAACTCTTTTGTTATGAGATGATGCTCCCACCAGCTGAGCCACACAGGCCAGGGTGAGCCACAACAAGCTTTTAAAGACACAAATCAGGGCTTGCTTCAGCAGCATGTATCTAAAAGTGGAATGACACAGAGAAAATTAGCATGACCCCTGCGCAAGGATGACACGCAAATTTGTGAAGTGTTCCATATTAAAAAAAAATAAAATCATTAAATGATAAAATAAAATTTAAATATAAATTAAAATAAAAAATAAAATCACATATCAGATGGTGTCTCTTCCTTGCTTTAAACCATTCAGATTTTGCATTGTACTTAGCACAAAGTGAGAAAGTCTTTTTTTTAAAAATTTTATTGATTATGCCATTACAGTTGTTCTAATTCCCCCTTCATTCCCCTCCACCCTGCATACTCCTCCCCTACCATTCCCCCCTTTAGTTTATGACCATGTGTCTCAAGTTCTTTAGATTCTATATTTCCCATACTATTCTTGCCCTCCCCCCATCTATTTTCTATCTACCATCTATGCTTCTTATTTTTTGTACCTTCTCCCCCCTTCTCCTCCTCCCACTCCCCTGTTGCTAACTCTCCATGAGATCTTCATTTTTATGGTTCTGCTCCTGATCTAGCTCTCTGCTTAGTTTGCTTTTGTTTTAGGTGTGGTTGTTAATAACTGTGAGTTTGCTGTCCTTTCACTGTTCATATTTTTCATCTTCTTTTTCTTAGGTAAGTCCCTTTAACATTTCATATAATAAGGACTTGGTGATGATGAACTTCTTGAATTTGATCTTATCTGAGAAGTACTTTATCTGCCCTTCCATTCTAAATGAAAGCTTTGCTGGATAGAGCAATCTTGGTTGTAGGTCTTTGGATTTCATGACTTGGAATGCTTCTTTCCAGCCCCTTCTTGCCTGTAAGGTCTCTTTTGAGAAATCCACTGACAGTCTGATGGGAACTCTTTTATAGGTGACTGTCCCCTTATCTCTTGCTGCTTCTAGGATTCTCTCCTTCATTTTAATCTTGGCTAATGTGATTATAATGTGCCTTGGTGTGTTCCCTCTTGGGTCCACCTTCTTTGGGACTCTCTGAACCTCCTGGATTTCCTGGAAGTCTATTTCCTTTGTCAGATTGGGGAAATTCTTGTTCATTATTTGTTCATATAAGCTTTCCACTCATGGCTGTTCCTCTTCCCCTTCTGGTACCCCTATAATTCAGATGTTGGAGCGTTTAAAGATGTCCTGGAGGTTCCTAAGCCTCTTCTCATTTTTTTCATTCTTGTTTCTCCATTGTTTTCTGTTCGGTCATTTTTTTCTTCCTTCTGGTCCACTCCCTTGATTTGAGTCCCAGTTTTCTTTCCATCACCATTTCTTTCCTGTGCATTTCCCTTCATTTCAATTAGTTTAGCCTTCATATGTTCCTCTAATTTGTGACTAAAATCAACCAGTTCTGTGAGCATCCTGATCACCAGTGTTTTGAACTGTGCATCTGAAAATTTGGCTATTTCTTTGTCACTTAGAATTATGGGCTCTGGGAGTTTGAGTTCTTCTTGATCCATGTTTTGTCTGTTCTTGCCTGTTATGTATGAGGAGGGGAGCCTTAGGTGTTCACCAGGGTGGGGCCACCCAGTGGCTGGTTTGTGACACTGTATGTGGGGGAGTGGTCAGAGAGGGAGCAATAGCGGTCCCCTCTGCTGCTTCCCGCTGCTGGTGCCTGCTTGGTCTGTCTCACTGCTCACTCCTTCACTGATTTATATGCACGCTCAAATGTGTTACTGTGGTCAGCCAGCCGCCTTGCACCCTCACTGGGTCCGCCCATCACAGCCCCACACCTGGGGATTTGCCAACTGCCGACTGTGTGCCTGGGTCGGTCTGGCCAAGTTTTTCTGAGCAACCCCACTCCACCAGCCGCTGGCTCCGCCCCTCTTACCGGTCTAGCTGAAGGGTTCCTTGTTGTCAGACTTCGGTAGTTTAATTTTCTGTATTATGGATGCATATTTGTTTTACCAAAACTTTGTTGTCTTTAAACTTGGTTGTGCGAGAAGGTACAGTGTTTCCACCTATGCCTCCATCTTGGCAGAAGTCCAAAGTGAGAAAGTCTTATCATGGCGTACAGAGTGCCAGCAATTTGCTCCCAGTTTTCTCTTCAGCCTCATCTTAGGCCACTTTCCCCTTGGTTATTACCTCTGCTGGTTCCCCTGCCTGGAACGCCTTACCTTCAGTTGGATAATCTCCTCTCACTTTCCCAATCTCAGCTCAAATAATCTTCTCCTCAGAGAAACCCTGTCTAAAAGTCAGACCAGGAGTACTGTTCTATCTCATGTTCCCACAGCATCCACTTCTTCCTCTTTTTACCACTGCTCTCTTGTTTGAATTACTTTCCCCACCAGACTCAGGTGGCCCTACTGGAATTCAGACTGCACAAGGGCAGGTATGTTAATCTGTTTTGTTCACGCCTGTCTCCTTAGTATCTAGAGAACAGTGTCTACTGCATAGTAAATGTGCAATGATTTTTTTCTTGAATGAATGAATTAGGGGCTAAGTTTGCTTGTCTTATTTACTGTGTATCTCTGGACCTAGCACAGTGCCTGGCACATAATAGGCACTCAACAAATTCTTATCGAATGGGGAAATTGATCTTTGATATTGCCTTCTTAGGCCCTCTACTGAGGCTTTCAGCTTTGAACATTCATATTTATTCAATGGCTTTCTGATATGCTCTCCTACCTTGAGGAGTTTATATCCTCGTATGTGAACAATGACCGTAAACTCCACCTGAGATTCCAGCTATAGCTTCCTCATCAGTGTGATGTGATTTGTAACTTCAGCATTGGAGAAAGAAATAAATTTTTGCCTTTTGGCATGATATTTGCGGTCAACAAAATCACTGGTGCTCTTAGCAGAGATATCTGGAACTGGATCTCATGCCAGCCAGGCTCTGCAATTCTCAGCATTTTCAACAAGCAGAGAAGAAAATGTGCGAGCTGCTTGTCTCAGGTGGTTGGAAGGAAAACGCCACTGCCTGACCGTGGGCTTTGGCCTCACTGCCTGCATTCTCCAGGGCTGGAAGGGCTCTGAGAAGTGAAATTGTAACACAGGCAGGGCCCTGGGGAGCATGTTGATGTGGTGAGATGCTGCTGTGTGTGTTGGCTGTGACCCTCGAGTCCCTGGCTAGGGAGAGGGGCCAAGCACAATGACTTCTTTCATGGAAAAACTTGACTCTGCAAACTCAGGTTTGAAGGCTTGAATCTGTCTCCTCTTGGTAAGTCACAAGCCATGAGAAAGGCTGTGCTGTTTGGCTCTCTGAGGGTTAGCATGACATGGCAGGAGTCCCTCTGGCAGAGATGTCATGAGGAGTCCCTCTGACTGAAGCACTGGCACTTGCTTCCTCACAAAGGAGAGTTTGTGACTAATTATAGGGGTGGAATCAACCTTATGTATATACTCTGCAAAACATTCTGATGGGGCCTGGGCTAAAACAGGATATGCTGATATTTGGTTCATATTTGGTTACTGGAGGCACCTGAAGTCATCTAATTCTGACAAAAATCCATCACCTTTGCAACACAGATTTTCTCTTTTTCCTGACTGTTCTAAGAAAGATCTCTATTTTTTTCAGGCTCTTTTACTTTATGGAGAAAGCCTAGTCCAGTAATGGGATAAAGGGCAGAGTGACACAGTGAAAAGCACGCCTCTGCTCAGACACAGGAGATGTATGATCACCACCACAGCCTTTGGTATCCTTTCCACATAATGAGGGGGATGGACTAATCAGTGATTGGCAAGCCTTTTTTGTCAAGAGCCAAAAGGAAATATTTAAGTCTCATGGGCCAAATGGTTTCCGTTGCAAGCACTCAACTTTACCATTATGGTGTGAAAGAAGCCATAGACAATACATAGGTAAATAAATGGGTGTGGCTACATGCCAATAAAACTTTATTTACAAAAACAGATAGTGAACTAGATTTTGTCTATGTGTCTTTGTTTGCCAACCTGTGAAACATTCTCTCTTAAAAGCACCTATGTACTAATTCTAGAACATGATTATCAAGACTAGAAGACAATTACTAAAAACAACAAAAATAATTAAATGGCAAAAAGTACATACTTATCAATAATTACTTTACCTGTAAATAGAGCAAATGCTCCAAGCAGAAGACATAGGGTGGCTGAAAGGGTATATAAAAACAAGGCCAGTACATATGCTGTCTAGAAGAGACCCACTTCAAATGGAAAGACACACAGATAAAAAAATGAAGGGATAGTAAAAGATATTTCATCCAAATGGAATGGGAAAAAAGTTAGGGCTGCAATACTTACATCAAACAAAATATACTTTATAAACAAAGGCTGTCATAGAATACAAAAATGGTATTTTAATAATATAAAGGGATCGGTTTGATGAGAAGATACACTCTTGTAAACATTTATGGACTCCGTTTAGGAACACCTAAATACATAAAGCAAATATGTGAAAGGGGAAATCAACAATAATACAGTCATAGTCTGGGACTTTAACCCCACACAGACATCAGTGGATACATCATCCAGACAGAAAATCAGTAAGGACATGCTTCTTCTCAGTAAATTTAAGAAGACTGAAATCATAACAAGCATATTCTTGGACCATAATGGTATGAAACTAGAAATCATTTACAAGAAGAAAACTGAAAAACATACAAACATGTGGAGGCTAAATAACATGCTACTAAACAATGAATGGGTTAACAGTGAGGTCAAGGAAGAAATCAAAAGTGCCTTGAGACAAATGAAAATGAAAACATCATGACCCAAAATCTATGAGACACAGCCAAGAATAAGAAAAATCTCAAATAAACAATCTAATCTTATACCTAAAAGAGCCAGTAAAGGAAGAACAAAGCCCCAAGTGAGTAGAAGAAAGAATCTAAAAGTTCAACATTAGAGAGAAGGCTGAATAAGAATGGTACCTCCTATCAGTACAGCCATTGAAAATAAAGCTGTAGAAGAATACTGAGAGGCAGAAAAGATGATTATTATATACCATTCAGTGAAAAAAGTTATCAGCAGTATATAGAGTATGAATTCATTTTAGACAAAAGATATGTATAATATGTATATTAATGGTTGGGAAGAAGATGTCAGCACTGGTTTCCTATGAGCTAGGTAATTATAAATAATTTTCATTTTCTTCTTTTTGTTTCTATTTTTAATCATTCTA